TGTGAAGTAAAACTCAGTGTAGACGTGGGAAATCTAGCTGCGGTGGAAAAAGAATCCCCTCCCGCAGTGGGAAGAGTTAGGTTTTCGCTCCAGCCAGAGTGAAGCTGAGCTAGACCTTCCAAACAAAGCCACACAGAAGCCAAAAGGCTAGGGAGAGACCTTGTTCTGGCCCCTTCCCCTTGTCAGTGATGTCTCCAGGTTTCAAGGCTTGCCAGATCCCAGGCTCCTCCGCTGTGGGCTTGAGGCTGCTCAGTTTACATCCTCCAAGAGAGGGCTTGGGAGTAGTTTGGTGCAATTTCAAGGTGGCGGTCCTTGGAGGGTGAGAATTTGAATCAAAAGTCTGACCGGGATTCCTAGAAGCCTTGAGGAGATAGTTCTTCTGTACTAATTTTTCTTCTTCAACAGTACAGTTTTTCGTACTATTTTATTATTAACCATAATTCCAAGGTGCATTTAGCTTCTGTACATTCACTCATTCCTTCATTTATTTGTACTTAGTGACTCCGAGGAGCTACTACCATGGCGGGAAAGCCCCTATTCCATTATGATGAGGCCCGGGGTAGAATGGAGTCTGTCCGGTGGCTCTTGGCTGCAGCTGGAGTAGAGGTAAGGTTTGCATCCTCACATGGAACTAAAACTGACTGTGTCAGATGTTTTCCTCACATCAGTCAGGAGGTGTTTCCTATTGCAAAACCCCTAAGAACTGTGCCCTGGGGTTAAGGCATACCTTTAACCCCAGCAGTCTAGGTAGGAGGATTGCAAGTTCAATGTAGGCCTTGCTCTAGAATGTGACCCTTCGGAATAAAAACAGACTCGTACCTTAAATTAGGATTATCCAGTTTTAAAGACACACATGAACAGATATAACATTACAAACCTTGAGACTGTTTTCTTCACACAGCACAGACAGTCAACAACTGCAAGGCCTTAGTCAAAACATGTATACCACGTTTGCATGGAGACAGAGTGGGAAAGAAAACCCTAACTGCACAGGCATGTGATTTTCTTTTATTTATAAATTTTTTATATAATAATGTTTATAATAAAAAATAAAAATAAACAAGTGTTTGTTGGTATTTTACTCTTTTGGACCCTGCAGACGTTTTGGGGGCCCATCATCCAGCTCCCAAATAAATCACACACAGAGTCTTATTCTTAGTTATGAATGCCTGGCCTCAGCTTGGCTTGTATCTTTCTAGCTTTTTTAAGTCATCCCAGTTTTGGTCTTGGCACTTTTATCTTTCTCTGTTCTTGTATACCTTTTTTTTTCCTTCCTACTCCATTTCTGGCTGGTTGGCTGGCCCTTAATGTCCTCCTCTCCTTCTTTTCTTCTTCCTTGCTGCCTCCCTTCCTCATTTCTCCTTCTCTTTATCGTCTCTGCCTGCCAGCCCTGCCTATCCTTGCTCCTGCCTCTCTATTGGCCAATCAGATCCTTATTAGGACCATCAGGTGTTTTAGACAGGCAAAGAATCACAGCTTTACAGAGTTACACAAATGCAGCACAAACAGAAGTCACACAGCTTAAAATAATATTCCCCAACAAACAAGAAGTTGTTCATGCTATTTATATGAGAATTAGAATTATGAATATTGAATATTTGAGTAATTATTGTTTCTGATATGATCATGTCTTTAAGGGAGGTTTGTCCTCTGAAAGAGTTCTTGCACTGAAAGAGTTCTTGCACTGTAGAGAACACATTGAAGTAGAGACAAAATACATTGTATCTGATGTTTGGATTGTGTATTTTGAGAGAACTCTGTCACAAAAAAAAAAAAAAGGAAAGAAAAGAAAGTGTCTATATATAACTACATGTTTGCCCACCCTGAAGAAGCAGGAAGAAGCAGTCTATTGCTTCTTCCTGGAGCCTTGTTTCCCTGACCCCGAAGATTGCACTTCACCCTTGTTCCTGGCATGCCTGGGACTTCAGCTTGATTCTTTCTGATTCTTTCCAGAGAAAGCATTCTACAGGTATAGATGGAGTGCCTGTCCACCCTGTGTTCTTTCCATGAGGAATCTGCTTTCCTACTACTCAGATGTCCGCCTTACAGTTCAGCCTCTGCAGCAATGAGTTCTAGCCAGAAGGGGGAAGTAGAAGCCATGAACTAAGTATCAAGGCCTCCTCTTGTCTACCTCAGCTGAGCTCAGGCTGCCTTGGATTCTTGCTCAGACCTTCTGGGTCTTCTGGGCCCAAAGGCTGATCATGATAGGCCCATCCCTCCCCCATCCCCACCATAACCACCAAACTCACCAACCCATCCAAACTTGGTGACCCCTTCCAATGACCGCTCATCTCCTATGTCCCCTATGTGTTTCCTGAGTGAAGGTTTGGCTAATTGGTGACATTCAGCACCTCACTGTCTGTAACCTAATGCAGTGTGACAGTGTCTATCCACAGTTAAGCATTCCACCAAGAGGCCAGCGATGAAAATATTCCTGTCTATCACTACTTAGAATTATAATAAATCATGACAGCCTTTGCAGCCAGAATTATATGTGATGTGGGCCAAGCCCTATACTGTGTATTCTGAAAACTCTCAGCTCAACTGGGTGCAGTGGCAGGTGCTTAAGGCCCCAGCCACTCAGAGGTTGAAGTATTAGAATTGCTTGAGCCTAGCTGAGCAACATAGTGAGACCTGTCTTACATTAAAAAATAAAATAAAATAATAGATGAACAGAAAACACTCTTCATATTATAAATGAAGGAACAAATTCTGTGAGATCTTAAATGATTGTGCTCAAATCGCAAAGCTATTTATGAGTTATAGCCTAGATCATGAATCATATGAGCATCAAAATGCAGAAATACTCATAACTGTTTCTGACTCTATTTTTGAAAGATTCTACTAACTCAAATATAATAATTCAAATATTATATTATAATATGATATAAGTATAAAAGGTATAAAGGCATTTGAGGTTTTTATTTTATTTGTGTGGATGTATGTCTGAACCACAAGCATGACTGTTGCTCTTGAAGGCCAGAAGAGGGCATCAGATACCAGAACTAGAGTTACAGACAGTTGTGAACCATCATATGGGTGCTGTAAATTGAACTGGGATCATCTGGAAGAGCGCTAAACCACTAAGCCATCTCATTAACTCCCTAACTGAGGGTTTTTATACAGTTTGCAGTGTCTCCAAGGCTGGCCATGAACTTATCATCCTCCCGCCTCAATTCTAGAATGGAACCATTGCGTAGGCATTTGCCACCCATATCTGGCCAAATTGATTGCATTTGTAGCAAATACTGGCTAATCCTCAGAGCATGGGATCTGTCTCTGACAGTTTGTCATGGCGGCCTTTCATACTAAAGTGATTGTTCTCAGGATAAGCTTTAATTTCTAGAGGCAGATAAAGAGCAGAGAAGATGGCCACCAATATTCAGTTGCTTTAAGAAATAAGGAAATGAAAACAGTGTGAGGAAAGAGCAAGGCAGCATTAGAATTCAGGTACATCATCTGTCTAGAGTACACACACACCTGAATATTTCTAAGTGGTTCGAACGGCTTCGTGAGTTATTACCCATAGCAAAATGAATTATAGGTCATATAACTGTACTGAGAGTGAGATTTAACAATGACTTCAAGGCCAGAAAAAACACAAAAAATGTAGTGTTATAATGAACCTGTGCCGTCATCAGAACCATATTGTTTTTCACATTTTTTATTTTGTTCATGTGTTTTTACGTGTGTGCATACACATGCTACAGATGCACAGGTAGAGGCTGGAGAATAAAGTGTAGGTGCTTGTTCTATTCTTCGACCTCGTGAGCCACAAGGGTCAAACTTAGGTTATCAGACATGGCAGCAACTGCCATTACCAGCTAAGCCATCTTGCCAACCTTGGTTAACATTCTTTAGAAACGTGCAACCCACCACAGAAGATCACGAAAGTCATGATCCATTTACTGTTTTCCTGTGAGCACTATGGACCTTTCTTTAAAATGAGAATTCTCCCATGAATTTCAGGAGAGGAAATTCTAGTTAATACCGTACTGTGTGAAGAACAAGACTCATGTCACCCACAGAAATCGTGTAAATTATAAACTAGGTCGTATAGAGACTGTCCTGGTTTGTTTTCTGTTGCCATGATAATACACTGACTAAGTTCTGGAGAAATGGCCCAGTGGTTAAGAGCATTAGCTGCTCTTCAAGAGAATCCAGGTTTGATTCCTAATACTGTATCTGTATCTGCATTTCTAGATGATCTGATGCCCTCTTCTGGTCTTTGAAGATACAGACATGCAAGTGATATATAGATTCAAGCAAAACACCTATACATAGCTTTTTTAACTTAAAAATAAAGCACTGGCCAAGACCTGCTTTGGGTGAAAAGGTCTATTTGGCTTACATATCAAAACGAATTATTTAAAGGAAGCTGAGACAAAAACTCAGGCAACCCCCCAGGATGAGTGCTGCACTGGCTTGTATAGCTAGCTTACTTTTGTAGTTCAGACATGCCTGCCTAGGAATAGCACCACCGATGGTGGGCTGCCCTAATCAATTAGCAATGAAGGAAATACTGTACAGACATGTCCATGAACCAGTCTGATCAAGGAGAACCCTCAGTTGAGATTCCCTCAGGTAACTCTGGGCTGTGTCAGCTCGACAGCTAAAGCTAACTATGACAGGGACCGTTGGTCCATGTCACATCTTGTGCTGCAGACCCAATGATCTCACCTGAAGATGCAGACTCAGTGATCTTACAACTTCGCCATGGGAAGACCTGTGCCGTCTTTCCCTTAGTGTGAACTCCCTCCCAGATTGTGAAGTTGCCATAGTTCTTGGTGTGGAGTGGAGTGGAAGCGAAACGATCTTTGGGATGAGCAGTTACTCGCTGTGGGTTGTGCTCTCTTGACAGCTCAGAAGAGCTTTCCAAATGCTTATAAGGAGATTTTTGCACATACTGCCATCCCCCAAAGTGTTGAGAATGCATGCAAGTTAAGAAGCCTATGAGACTAAAGAAAAACTTACAACCCCTTGCTGTTTTTGCTTTCTAGTATGAAGAGAAATTTATACACACCAATGAAGACTTGGAGAAGTTAAGAAGTGGTAAGTCCAAGATCCTGGAAGACCACAGACAGGGATGCCTTACAGATGTGTTAGACTCCAGATCATGTGGGTGTGTTTATAAGATAGTTCCCAGGGATGCCAGAGGGGAGAGAGTAGGAAAAATATGAAGGAGAAGGGTTCTTAGGGCAGATTTGAGACTTAATGGTAAAAAAGACTTACTTAATGGTAATAAGGGCGAGGCCTATGAGTATTTGCTAATGAAACATCCCCAGTGCCTCCCCTGACTTTCCCCCTTCTTCTCCAGTTTTCTTGAGCCAGAGAGCTCAGGGTTTCAGGCTGCTGACTTGCTGCTTTAGGGAAGAGAAAAGATGCAAGCACAGCACTCACCTTGAGTTCTTCAGTCTGGTCGCTTGACTAGTTGACTCCCTGCTAGTCCTTAAGGCTGTACAGTGAAAAGGTTCTGAAGTGCTGGACTCTCAGACTAGAGTGTGAGAAGGTAAAGAAACAGGAATGGGTAGCAGTCATGGGGCCGGGCACTCCTGGCTTCCTGGGAGACACTGCCTGGTGCTATGATTGGAGGAACACACAAGAGCCCTGCATAGAAATCGTTCTCTGGACCAATCTTGCTATCAGTTGATCACCTTATTGCATTCTGTCCCACTTTCCTAAAAATAGCTACAAGCAGAAGTCAACATAAAGAAACAGAAATTCCTTAGCATTTGTATGGACAGGTAACAGACAGACATGAATGAGCAAGGGTTGGGAGAGTGGGAGAAATATGAGATGCTTTTCCTTTTGTGTTTTGTAACTTTTGATTCTGAAAGCTTATGTATAACACACAGAGTTTCTCTGTGTAACAGTCCTAGCTGGCCTGCCACTAGCTCTTGTAGACCAGGTTGGCCTTGAACTCACAGAGCTCTTCCTGCCTCTGACTCCCGAGTGCTGGGATTAAAAGCGCCAAGCTAAAAATCTAGATATTTTCTAAACCTTGCTTTATCTATCTATCTATCTATCTATCTATCTATCTATCTATCTATCTATCTATCTATCTCTCTATCTATTTATTATGTCTACTGTGTTCTGCCTGCATGATTGCCTGCAGGCCAGAAGAGGGCACAAGATCTGATTACAGGTGGTTGTGAGCCACCATGTGGTTGCTGGGAATTGAACTTAAGGACTTATGGAAGAAAAGCCAATGTTCTTAACTGCTGACCCATCTCTCCAGAACCCATAGATTTTTTTTCTTAAATCTCTCTTTCTGTTTTCTTTTCTCAAAAGATGGAGTTCTGATGTTCCAACAAGTGCCCATGGTCGAGGTGGATGGGATGAAGCTGGTGCAGACCAGAGCCATTCTCAACTACTTTTCCAGCAAATACAACCTCTATGGGAAGGACATGAAGGAGAGAGCCCTGTACAGTATATTTCTATTTTGATACCAATGGAGATCATGAGAAGGATTTAAGTCCTCATTGAATAATCAGATCAACAGCAGGGGTCATGGTAGGCTTGCCTTGGTATTTATACTGGAGTAATATACCAAGTATTTATACTCCAAGCGAGTATGGGACTGGCATGAAACCAGACGCAGTGCAATAGAATGGAATTGAGATCCCAGGTGCATATGAGTGGGTATCTACTCGACTGCTTTGCGACAGACGCAAACACCTACTCTTGAGTCATGGCTATCTACATGCATGGGGGTGAAATTAGACCTATATATGCCACACTTGGCCTAGATGTTATGCGTTACAGAAAATAGCCCCAAAAGAATAAAAGCCATATATTCAAAGCTTGAAACTATAAAGTGACTGAGAGAACTTGTAACATTTAAAGAATGCAGACTCTGTGGTAGGAAAGGAACCAAGGAGCATCTGAGTTCTCCCAGGGACTGGCGAGCTCTCAGGTTTTACTGCTGATACCCACACCCTGTTCACAGAATAAACCAAAGCAGATGAGGGAATCCATTTGTAGTATTGTTGGTAGATGCATGAGTCCTACCAAGGTCAGAGAGAAGGGACTCTGGAGAAGTCCCCAAAGCTCCTAGGTATACCTGGCCACATGATGTACAAAAAGGTTTTAGGCACGTATGTTCCTTACAGATTTCTCTAAGAAATTAAAACTATAAATAAAAGTCATAACTAATATCTGAAACAGCCCGAGAGGAAGGGACAGGAGGTGGGGGTGGTATTTACCTATGCTCTGTTCTCTAAGATTTTCAAACTGAAAAATGTCAGGCAGGATGTGGTGGACAGTTGTGGTGTTCTTGTCTTTCAGGATTGACATGTATTCAGAAGGTTTAGCAGACTTGAATGAGATTTTTATTCTCTACCCATTTGACCCACCTGGGGTCAAAGAAGCAAATATTGCCCTGATGAAAGAGAAAGCAACAAACCGTTACTTTCCTGCCTTTGAAAAGGTTTGCAGAAGCTGTTTGTACTTCAAGACCAATAATACTGGTGGGGACGTGATACCATATACCTGTAAGCCCAACACTCAACAGGCTGAGACAGGAGAACTTGGGCTAAGCTGTTGAACAGCATGCTATAGAGGAATGGCATTACAAAAGACTTTCAGGGCTCTTTAAAAAGAGTTTAGAGTAGTGGTTCTCAACCTTCCTAAGGCGTGGACCCTTTAATACAGTTATTGATGTTGTGGTGACCCCCAGCCATAGAATTATTTCTGTTGCTACTCTTATTGTGCTATTGTTATGAACTGTAACAATAAATATCTGATATGTGACCCCAAAACTTGTACTAGAGTGTGGTCTAGCTATTGCCACACCAAAAAAGTCATACACTGTGAGTTGTGCAACCACTGCTATGTTTGAACTATTCTGGAGACTGGAAAGGAGATCAAAGTGCTGGCAGATGCAGTGCAGATGAAAGCCTGGTTTCTGTTTCATGGGGAGCCAACCTCTAGAAGCACCCTCACCGAGCCAATGGGTTAAGGAACCCTCCGCATCCTTTTATAAGGGAGTTGGTGCCATTCTTCAGGGTCTCCTGCTTAGTTACTAATTTGAACCGCTGAGCTCCTGTCTACTAACAGAATGATGCTTAGAGTTAGGGTCTCAATAGGAGGAAGAAACGGGCCCCATTCTGGCTCTGTGTGTTCAGGATGCCTTCTCTTGAATTCTCCAGGTGTTAAAGAGCCACGGACAGGACTACCTCGTTGGCAACAAGCTGAGCAAGGCTGATATTCACCTGGTTGAAATGATCTACAACATGGAAGAGCTGGATCCCAACATTATAGCCAACTTCCCCCTGCTTCAGGTGAGCTGTCTTATACTTCCCTGCCAGGGATCTGATGTTTAGGCTCAGACAGGTAGCATGTGATCTCTAACCTTCTTCAAGCCTGCATACTTATCCCTTCGACTCAAAAATGAATGTATAGGCATTTGCTCTAAGGCTTTCAGATAATCTTGTTCTGCAAGAAAAGCAATTGGATGCTATCCCAGAGGACTCAGCAGCTCTGCTCCATCCACCCTCTTATCCCATCGACATCTTTATTTTCTTGGTCTCTGGTATGTTCAGCATCCTAGGTGGGACTTTGTCTTTGCAGAGTTCATCAGATCTCTCTCCGTCTGATCGCAGCTTTCACCCCTACTTGTCAAATATCGATTTCCCTCTTGTATAGACACCCACACATGTGCATGCACACACCTGCACATCAAAACTGTCTTTATCTCAGTGTAAAAGTTTGGTTATTATTGACACTTGATTGGTGTAATGTTTATATTCTTTTTTTCTTTTCAAAGAAATGGGTTCCATTAGGACTGTCCCATCCCCTCTCCTGCATCTGACTAGAACCCCTTACCACCTGAAATAATTCCACTTTTGCATTCCTTAATATATTCCACTACTCTCATTTATCCTCTCCTTTAGTTATTTATTCATTCATTCATTCATTCATTCATTCATTTTTAGTTTTAGGGATTCTGTTTTATTTTTTTCCTTTTTTGGTCTTTCGGGACAAGATACACTCCTGGCTGTCCTGGAACTCACCTGGTATATCAGACTGGCCTCAAACTCTCTGAGATTGGCCTGCCTCTACCTCCCAAGTGCTGGGATGAAAGGCATATGCCATCATTGCTCAGCCAAATAGATGTAAAGTTTTTTTTTGTTTTGTTTTGGTTTGGTTTGGGTTTTTTTTTTTTTTTTTT